TTTCTCAAAAGGAAAATAAGACCTAATATCGAACATAATTTATATCAGCACATATCTATAGTAATATTTCGTTGAGAGTACGTGTTGATATACGAGTTCGTAAAAAAGATTTATCAAAAATGAAAAAAAGATTGAACTCGGTTTAGTTCAGACTAATATATGCAGTTGATTTGTAGCTTAACAGAGGATTACCGTCACTGTGGGTGGTAATGAGTGCACTTGTTACAGAAGAAGGGTCCTTTTACTACCTAATGGCAAATGAAATTTTTGGTGGGTCCGAAGTATAGTCCAGGGGGTCGACAGATGTTACTTTCTCATGTCAGTTCTACCTCGTTCTAGGATCATTAACTATAATACATATCTTCTTCACGATAGATTATTAACGATCATATAGATTATTACCAATTTATTCTAATTAAAATATAATACTTCGATTATTTTCTATAAAATAATTTATCTCCTCGTTGTGTCTCTGTACAGTAATTAAAAATATTTTTATCCGAACATTTACTCATCTTTTTAACTTCTATATATATATAGTATTGTATATATAAAATTATATATTTTATTATATAAAATAATTAAAATATTCTTTTCTATTATAATTCTATTTCTATTACGAAATAACATATACACAAATAAAATACAGAAAAGTATTTTATATATATAAAATAAGAGTAGTGTTTTTTACGTATAAAAAGGCTAAAAAGTTTAGAATCTGGCATGTGGAGAGCTGTAATAGAATAATACTTGTTATTTCATAAACTATGATCAATTTATTTTAATTAATTGATAATTAATCGAAAAAAATGTATATTGTTGTTTAAAAGCACGGAGTATATGTTCGGTCCACCGTCCTGCACGAAATTCACCTTTAGACTGGCACGTTGTCATCTATGAAATTACTTTTATTAAATGTTGTTTATATGACTTTCCGAAAGTTGCGCATGTGTGTAACGAGAATATTATTTGTAATAAATAGAAATTAAGATTATAACGTTTTGATTTTAACATTTTTATCGTTTTTATGTAATTATTTCAACGCACCTGCGCAGTGATGACTTCGAGGGTAAAATTTTCTTGTAATATAAAAAGAGTGCGTTAGTGCATTAAAATAATTGTTAATTAATCGATAGAAATGTTTATTGTTTTTTAAAAGCTCGGAATATATGATTTATGCTCCATCCCCTTTGAAATCCACCGTTGAACTGGGTCATTGTCCTCTATGAAATTTCTTTTATTAAATATTGTTTATATGACTTTCCGAACGTTGCACATGTGTGTAACGGGTATAATATTCGTATTAAATAAAATTTCTTTATTTGGAAAGTCATATAAACAACATTTAATTAAAGTACTTTCATAGTGCCAGTCTGAAGGTGAATTTCGAGGAGAGCGGTACATAGATCATATATTCCTTGCTTTTAGATAACAATAGACATTTCTATCGATTAATTAACAATTATTTTAATAATCTAATACACTCTCTTTATATTTCAGATTGTTTAAACATATATGTACTAGTATAAGCATTACATATTTATTAACGTACTTTAAATATTAAATAATTTCGATATTATATTCTTTTCAATGAAAATTTCCCCCTCCGAAGTCACCACTGCATAGGTACGTTAAAACAAATGTACATTAGTTTAAATAATTACATAAAAATAAGAAAATGCTGAAATCAGAACGTTACAATCTTAAATTTTATGTATCAGGTGTATGAATCCTTTTGTACATATGCGAAACGTTCGGAAAGTCATATAAACAACTTTCAATAAAAGTATTTACATAGAAGACAATGGCCCATTTCAACGGTAGATTTCGAAGAGAATAGAACATAGATTATATTTTCCGAGCTTTTAGATAACAATAGACACTTCCAACGATTATAAGTAACAATTATTTTAACATACTCTCTTTTTATATTTCAGATTGTTTAAACATATATGCACTAGTATAAGCATTACATATATACTTATTAACATACTTTAAATATAAAATAATTTCGATATGATATTCTTTTCGATGAAAATTTCCCCCTTCGAAGTCTTCACTCAACAGGAACGTTAAAATAATTACTTAATCTTAGATTCTTACCATAATCTCATTCTTTTTATGATTTTAGAAAGACGTTCACCATCATCCCGTTTATTTTATTATTTCGTAATCTTAATTATAACTTCTCATTCATTTTTTAAATCATGGCAGGTGGGGGGTTGTTTTCATTTATAGTTTTTATTCGTGTGGTAAATGTTTTGAATGATATGAAACGTTATTAATTTTATTTTGTATTTTTGATTACAGATGATTCAACAGTGCAACGATGCAACGATGCAACGATGGAACAATTCATTCAATACTAATCAATTTCACGACATCATTCAATCAACAGCGAGGAGGACAAGTATTTTAGAACCATCGTAGAACTTCTCAGGCCAATTATTTATGCTGCATTTTTATTCGCAACAGTTAGTAACGAGTGAGTAAAAAAATTTCATGTTCTTCCAGTGACCAATCATGTCGAGGATGAAAGGTCCAACATCGGCACAGGTTACTGGTTGTATTCGTATGTGTATTTATTTTAGATTAGGCCCATGGTCTTCTTGTTTCATCGGTTTTAATTCACTTGATTAACAATGCAATTAATTAATGCATTTATTTTTTCTGTTTTACGTATATGTTTAGTCGTGTTAGTAGTGTATTAATTTACTCGATTTCGTGTCAAGAAAGTATGTAGAAATTATTTTACACATACATTACTTTGTAATTAATTTATCAATACTTCGATATATTATCGATAAACGAACAAGAAGACAAACCAAAATTCAATATAGTTTGCCAATATAAAAATCTTAAAAAGTTTCGTTTGTGTCGCGTGTGTGAATTTCACGAGTTTTCTTGTTTATTTTTTTCTTTTCTTTTTTCTTTTTTCTTTTTTTTTGTTATTAAAACCATGCGTTGGAAAGTTTTGCTTTTACGACGAAGACCTGAACATTATCGTAAAGAATTAAAAGTCTCGATTTAGACGAAGTCGAGTAAAGTTGACAAAGTAAAAGAGCATAAAGTTTGAAGACGGCTTTAAATTTTTCTGAAAGCAAAGACGACTAGTCTTTAAACCCGTGGGGGACTGATGTCTCAGTCTATCGAACGTAATCGAAGCGATATTTCAGAGCGGTAATGTTATGACACAAGGAACGTTTTTATGCGTTTCCTTTCTAGAAGGCAGCCGGCTTTTCCCCCTTAAATATCCGAAAACGAGTCCCTAAAACACCCACGTCTTTAACTTGATGTTCCACTTATCCGGTTCCTTCTTATATAGTCTACCAAAAATACTGGGAATTAATGCACCGCTCTCTTCGAGTTAATGCATTCGCTTAAATCAAAACTTTGAAATTACTTTGACCCTTTTAATAAATCCGATTTATTTTAAATACAAATTTTCTTTAGCTTCGGTTCGTCGTAAAAGCCAAAAAGAAAAGAACGTAATTCTCGCGATCGTAAATCTAATAAAAAAAATGTATATATTTAAAAAAAATTATTATTAATAATAATATAAATTGCAAATTTATTTTCTTATATATTCGTAATATATGAGATACGTGAGAATATTTAAATGAGAAAAAAAACTATCCTAAAATATAAGATAAAAATGATATGAAAATAAAAACGGCAAATGTTATATGCCCCGAGAATTTCTAGAAGTTTCGAAAAGAGTCTGACGGATGGACCCGGCGGCAGGCACTTTTCTCATGAATGAACGTAGGGGTTGGGGTGGTTCTACACTTATACACCAACAAGAAGGTACGTACATACAGGGTGCTTCTGCGATACCTCAAAACTCAAAGAGCAACTAACTATACGTTGTCTGGTTCGCGCGTTAGCACCGCCTGAAGTGTGAAACACGGGGGCCCGTACAAAACTCTAACCGGACGGACGTTTTACGAGCTACCATCTGGAAAATGCTTCTTCTTCTTCTTCTTCTTCTACTTCTGCTTCTTCGGTGAGTTGTATTAACCGACAAACTTCCGCGACTATTACACACGAGACTATGGGATATACAACGAATGGAAAAAAAGAAAAAGAAAAAAGGGAAGAGGGAATGAGAGAGGATCAACTGAACATGGAAAACAGAAAGGAAACGCTTTGAAATTCGACTCGAATTAGGAACTGTACGTCAAGTCACGGCAATGTTTCTTTTTGAGATAAACCCAAGACACCCCTTCGCGTTAATTCCCGTCTTAAGAACGCCCACGCGTTTCTCAAAAAAGAAACAAAAAAATGAAAAAGTGGTGGGGAGGTGAGAACGCGTGCGAACGAGCGAGCGTTTGAATATTTGGTATAAACTATATTATATCGTTGATAATTTTATCTAAACGTTTTAAAAGAAAAATTCTATGAAGAAAAAATATCTATCGGCACAGGATAGTTTCGTAGTGTTTGATCCTTCGAAGGGGGTAGTTACGTTGCTTGACTTTATATTATCCCCGTCTAGACTCAACAGCTCCGAGTGTCACGAACGTGCCCAAGTACCATCTTACCTTTTTATATGAGATATAGAAAAAAAAAAAAAAAAGAAAAAAAAGAGAAGAACGATACAGGTCAAAGTCATCTATATCGGTGCATTTATTATATTTTACCTACCTATTCACAGGATCAAGGTATTATTTTAAGAATTATTTATCGATGTCGTGAGATTACACCCAAGCTCAAATTATCATCTAATCTTCTTTCTTTCTCTTCCTTTCGAAAAAGGGAACCTCTGATCCTTTAGATATATTTAGAAAATTTGTTACTTAGTGTTTAATATCTTTCCCGATCTTTTATTTCTATCAGGTGTATCATCGTACATCAAGGTTTCTACCAAGTGGATAAATTTTAACACGATTTTAATAGATCGTCGTATTATATCGAATAAAAAAACAAAAGTTGTTATTGAAATGTTCAAAAATATATTTTCTCATTGATTAATTAATTATTATTAATAAATGTCGTAGAAAATGTTTGCTCAATTAAATGGGAAATACATTTTTCTTTTTTTTTGTAAAAGTTATCATTTTATACGATCTGTTCTATGTTTCATTACAAAATAAAAATGATAAATAAATAATTTAGGTGGGGAGGGGGGGGAAAGAAACAAAAATAAATAGAAAATTAGGGATAGTGTACGCGTATTCTAGATTTTGATTTTCTAAATTTGCCGATAATACGAAAAGGAACCATTGATAGATGGGAACAGATGCATTGGACGTGCCTTTAAGGGGACCTGGCCTGTTTTGAAAACGTGCCGATATTGTGCTAAAGACACCGATGAACTTTACAAGCTTTTCAGGATTTCCTAACAGAAAGTATCTGTCCTAGACACCACCCCTCTCTCCCTTTTATTTTTATTTTTCTTTTATTCTTACCGCGACAACGGTAAAAAGCAACGGCATCGGTTTCCTTGTTTTGTGAGATCTCTCTCGGAAAAGACACTTTAAAGACACTTCCATAAATCGACACGGAATCTCAGCTGTCCCATACCATTTATCTTCGCTAAAAACCATGCCGCTATTGGTTGTCTTAATGTTGATCTCCCATCGAAATAAGATATCCTCTTGACGATTTAACATTTAAACTTCTACAAATGATGGGAATAAATACAAATTAAATTAACATATATATATTATATATTTATTATCGTCGAATCTTTCAATACGCAATATTAAATAGTAAAATTATGATTTATTTCACATATTAAATCTACGTTTAAATATTTGCGACACCTCACCCACCCCACCATATATATCACACGATGGAAATAAAAAATTAATGGACTACAATATTAACTTAAACTCTTTCCTTTTGTCTTGGTTCTCTTCTCTCTTTCTCTTCTTTTTATAATAAAGGGTGAACTTATTTCTTTTTTTTGCTCGCAACATAATACAACGTAGTCGCCTATTAAACTCCCGTAGAGAAAGTTGAGAGTCTAAAATTGCTAACATAAATCAGTAAGCGTATTTTCCCACTGCGGCAAGGTAAAACGTAACATTAAAGAAGTAGGGAAAATACGTTAAAATGACTTTTTACAAAAAGACTGAAAAAGAGTGAGAGAGAGAGAGAGAAGGTAAGAGTTTCCCCACTCTTAGGGGAAAGGGGCTGGATTTTACGCTACTCGTAGATACTTGAAATTTTAGTTTAGTTAAGGCGGACCAGCCGGAAGCGACACTTCGAACGTGATAATTGTACGCCAGCTGTCGACTTCGTTTTCTTCTCTTCTACTCGAGAATACCTTACCAAGCGAATCTATTACGAATAAACTTCTTTATTATACACGACATTAAAAAAGAAAAAAAGAAACAAGAAATCTTTTCGTTCATATAAATATATAATAATATTAATTAAATTTAATATTACAGATTATTATTATACGTTTGATCATTTTGTCGGATTCTTTATTACTCTTGTTAATGAACATTTTTTTTTGTTATATATTTCTTTTTTTTTTTTCTCTCTCTCTTTTTCTGTGTAATAAATAATATTTGTTTAACTTTTTATTATTTTAAGAGAAAAAAAGAGAAGAGAAGAAAAGGAAACCTTGTGCATACATTTCAATCGTATTTATTTATTTATACGAGCCGTAAAAAATTAAATTATTAAAAGCTTTTTAATTAATTTTAATTACGTTTATAAAGTTCTCCGAGATAAATAAATACAAGAGATGGAGAACATTCAACCTATGTTAAAGAACGTAATGTTTAACGTTAAATCGTAACGGACCTGAGTATAATCGGTTTAAGAGAAATTTCAAAATCCATTTGGTAACTCGAGAATTGTTACGTGCAATAATTAATATATCCCACGGACAAGGGAAATCCTCACTTTACTCATGAATAACCAGAGTAACACATGCATAGTTACAATTGTACAAGTTATACCCGTGCATGTTAGTTTCTTCTTATTGCTATAATAAAAGCAACGGGATTTCAAACGTTATTAATTACTTTCGCGTATATTTCACTCTCTCTCTCTCTCTCTCTCTCATTCTCATTCTCTTTATCTTTCTCTTTCTCTTTCTCTTTCTCTCTAATTTGTATATAGCACGTGCGAAACTTATCCTTGCATTGTCATTAATAACGCGTAAAAGTGAACCCCTAGAATCAAAGTGTTCAAATTCGTCGAGTTCGATGGTCTCATTGCAGTTTAAGTCAGTTGATTAATTACCATCTTTCTTGATAAATGATCTTTCCTCGAGATCCTACCAACGCTCGTGTTCAACGGAATTAATAGTAAAACTACGCCAAAAAGACAAAAAAAAAGAAAGAAAGAAGACAAACAAAAAATAAGACGAGGATTAGGAGGAGGAAAAATAAAAAGAAACCGAGGAGGAGGGGAAGATTCCAGAAGAAGAAAAAAAGTCCAAGCTTTTTCTGTTTGTTTCCTTTATTTGTTTTTTACAACGATATTTTTATTGCATCCAAGGTATTTACAATATTTTGAAAGAACAAAAAAAGAACAAAAAATAATAATAAATGTGTACGTACATGTGAACCCGTGCATATAACTTTGCATACAGGTATTTTTTTCAATTCGCATTTATTAAAACCTTTGCAAATCATATTTAACTTTTTACATTAACAATTAAAATTACTTTGCAAATCCTATCAGGTTTCTTTTCTTTTTTGACAATTCTAATTCGCTTTTTTCACATATAAATGTTCATCGTGTGTTGAAAAGTACGATGAGATAGAAATAAAAAAAAATGTATCTTTCGTTGTGTTTGAACAAACGAGATGTTTTACAGGGAGAGGTTTACAATATTAATAAAATTCTATTTCCTTTGAATATTTATTTATTACAATTAGAAAAATATTTCGTCATTCTTTTTTTTTTTTTTTATCGTTGACACAGCAGAAAGGTGAATATAATTTGCAATAGGATTAATTTCGGGCGTAAAACCCGTGCGCACCCGTGTTGTCTCGTATAGAAAATTTTTTAACATCGGTTTCAGAGAGAAAGAAAAATAAAAGAGAGAGAGAGAGAGAGAGAGAGAGAGAGAGAAATAAACATTCGTTGTTTTTTTCAGTCGAATAAACAAAAACATCGATTTAAATCGATGAAATATAAACGAAATAAATGGAATCGCATATCCGACGTGAAATTTCGTAAGAAGAAATATTGGACTAGTACAATGTACGGGATAAACAACTCTCTAAGAATAATAACGGTCATAAGTTATGTTAATTCAAAATGACGTTAGCTCTGCGAGTGATAGAATATCGTGAAATATGATTTTAACAACTCTGACACTCGTCCGTTATAATTTTACGATTAAATTTCGCGATCATATTGTTTTTTTTTTCATTCTCGTTAGTCATTTTTATCAGGAAACATCATTTGCAGACAACGTCGGCCCATTATTCACGTTTGATGCGTTAATCAAAAAAAAAAAAAAAATAATAAAACTTTTAGTACCAAAAAATGTAAAATCACAACGAAATATAATGAAAATCACATGTGGTTAAATTTTTTGTTCGTAAATGAGATACTTTATATATAAAAAAACAAATTGTAATTATTTAATATTAATTTTTTCTTCTCTCTCTCTCTCTCTCTCTCAACTCTCGAAAAGAAAAATGTATCTAATTATATAATCACTTATAGTCAAATAAATTTTTGTCTAGGACTAGAAAATACAAGATTTCAACGTTCTCTCGAACACGCGACGATCTTGTGTTGCACCTTTCATTATTATTATTATTATTATTATTATAATTATTATAATTATTATATTTAATTTTGTTCTTACGCTAAACTACGTAGAAAATGTAAGTATAATTTTCAAAAATAAAAGAAAAGAAATAACGAAAGAAAGATGAAGCTCATAATCTTGGAAAATACAGATCTAATTGTGTACACATTATAATCGTAGAATGGAGTTTATCCAACGAATAATCTCGTTCTACTCGCATCCCACGGAAGTTCGTTGAAAAATAAAACGCTAATCCTTACCCCCACATCCCTTCCCCCCTTCCCCCCTTCCCCCCCTATACCTTTCCCGAATTAGCTGCTTTCGTTAAAGTTCTTTTTCGGGTTCTATGTATTTACCTAACAACTCTTTTTTTTTTTTTTTTTTTTTTTTTTTTTTTTTTTTTTTTTTTTTTTTTCTTTTATTTCTTTTATATTTTTTTTCTTTTTTACGTCCAGAGTCTCTCAGAAACGTATACGGGGATGGATACGTATTTAAACTTCAATCGAGCTAATCTAGTCCTCGATAAATGTTCATTCGTAATTCATTGGGATTTCAATTCGAACGATAAACATTCAACTAATCGACGTTATATTTTTTACGAATACTTCAGAACGCATTTGCTGTTGCTGTTGCCGTTCCTGCGATTATTCCACACACGTCGAGAGTATAGCAATTTCTTTTTTTCTCTCTTATCCTTCTTCTTTTTTTTTTTTTTTATCGAAACTCGATAAATCTCATCCCGTTTTCTTTTTTTAATACTGTCTTAACCTTAATGATGCGACGAGTAATGACTTTCCATAGGAGCTTGTGCTGGTCCATTTATACTTTGAACGATCATACTCAAACAATCCAAACTGCTTCCGTTACCTTGAACCGACGAAGTTTCAACTTGTTCGAATCCTGAAACATCAAAAGTATTACAAAATTCATTATCAATTATTTAGATAATAAAATTGTTATTTAATCGATTGACGATTCATGAAATAATAATCAAATGATTACGTTAATTATTTATTCAAGAATCAAACGATAATATATTCCATTAAATAAAGAAACTTTGTCTTATTGAGTAGTTCAAACACAGTGAATTTTCACGCTTTAACGAGAAAGAAAGCTTTTTCATATCGGAAAAAGCATCAGGAATTGTGAACGTACGACTGTTTGAAGGGGGTAATCAATGAATAGGTAGAATGAGAGAGAAAGATAGAAATAAAAAAGAAAGTAGAGAAGACAGAAACGTCAACTCGTTGTATTGGAAAATTGTCGTTTCCGTCGCGACCACATACACACACACACACATGTCATATTATTCTTGTATACTCGTACGTACATAAATACATAGCTTATAACCGTGTGTTAGGATTCGATATGACCTGGAACATCATATATAGGAGAATTCAATCAAATTGTCCGAATACACACGTTCGATTGCAAATTCGAGCGAATTTCCTATTGACCACTAATGAACAACGCGTGGCTTGATAGCTTATACTGCTGTTGTTGTTATTGTTAGGTTCTACTATCAAAGATAATGAAGTAACTTATGTAACTCTTGATGTTTCATATTAACTAATGAACGAACTAACGAACGAATCAACGATTATTACGAGATTCATTGTGTTTACGGTTCTTCGCGTTTATACTGCACATTCATTATATTAAAACAAATCGTACGATTAAAGTCCCTAGACAATCGGCCGAAAAATGTTCAAACAAGTCGTTGGGAAATTTGCCCAAAATTCATACGTTTCAAAATCAAAGACGTAACGAAGACGAGATCAAGTAGGTAATTCTTTTTTTTTTTTTTTCAATATTTTTATTCGACTAATCGATTACTGTAATAAATAGAAAAATCTTTGTATAGTATTACAAACTGTTCCGTTAAAAGAATAAGAATAAGAATAAGAAGGAGAAGAAGATGATGATGATGATGATGATGAAAATAAATAAAAATGAGAAATAATTCTCAACGGGAATACCATTTTCGTTTGTTCATTTGTTCATTCGTTTAAACCAACGATATAGGACAGAAAGAACTTGGATGAAACGAGGACGAAAGAAAAAGAGAGAAAATGTATCTATATAACGTGTATATATCCTTCCCCCGTTTCTCTTCCCCTTATCACCATTTCTCTTTTAGTACGTACGTGATACTAAATACGTGTGTGTATATAAAATCGTGCTATGGGTACGCAATAAAAAGCTAGAGCGAACGATAAAAATAAAAGTGTATCGTTTCTACGAAAGAAATGAGAGGAAAAAGGAAGATACGAAACACATGCACATATATATACACACACGTACACATACGGATAAAAAAAAAGAAAGAAAGAAAGAGAGAGAGACAGTAGCAGGGTGGGAAAGTGGGGAAAACACTGGCCGTACAATGATGATGGGGTCCGGATTTAAAACAGAAAGTACCGTCGAAAACAAATCGTGCTTGTTCAGGCAGTATTACGGTGCCAAGAATAACGGCTTCAAAGCCCTTAAAGTCTCAGAACGTTGCCTATGCAAATTCGTTTCTCTTCGGTGCAAGGAACAAAGAAGGGATAGAAAAAGTCGAACAAACTCGGAATGAGAAGAAAGTCGCAAAGAGATGAAGAAATGGTTAAGGGGTTAGAGGGAAGGGTGAAGAGGAACCTTCTTGACGTTATTTTTTCTTTTTCTTTTTCTTTGTATTTTATTTTCTCATGTTTTTTTTTGTTTTTTTTTTCACGAAAGCACAAACGCCAAACCCTATTCGTTTTTTTTATCGGATCGACAGTTTTATTCGATAAAAAATTATTCGAAATAATTTTCGTACACGTTGTTTTTCTTTTTTTTTTTTTTTTCAAACGAATTATCAACATTTTACGTGCATAGCAAGTGATTTTTCGTATCGGATTACATCGTTCGAGTATTTGTGAAATAAACGAATAACGTTTGTAATCAAATAATTCTGCATTGTTTTATACAGTTCTCGATGAAATATCAAACGAAGTTTTTCTTTTCAGTTTTAATCTTTTTTTTTTTGTTTAATATTAATCAAACAAATACATAGAACCTTTTAATGATTTCTTATTCTCAATTCACATCGTTTAATTAACGATAAGATAAAGAAAATGAATGAACATTTTTCTACGCGAATCGATGGAAAATTTTGTAATGTAACTTTTGTTAAAAACTAACGAATCCATTCGTTCATTCTATTTACGAGCTTCGACAGTTGAAAAAGAATTTTTTTCTTCTTCTTTTTTTTTCTTACGATTTAGTCTATATTATACGAGCCATGAATATATCTAAATTGAAACGAAACGACTCGGACGTTTTGCATTAATTTCAAGATTTGTAAAGCACCAATTTGATCTTTATAAAATACTTCGTTTAGTTTTTCTTTATTTTATCTCGTAAAATGCTAAACAAAATTTATTCACAATTCTTGACACTTTTTCTCGTCCTCCTCCTCCTCCTCCTCCTCGATCTCTACCAACTCTTTTTTCTTTTTATTGTATAAAAAGAAAAAAAGAACGAAAAATAAAAAAGAAATGATTTATTCGACACATTTATTCAAAAATCTTTATCAAAAGATCCCTTTACATAATATTCGATATCTTTCTGAAAGGATACTCGTTAGGAAGTGTTTAGACGAAAAGCTTTTCAGTGAACTAGACGGTTTACGTCCATCATCATCCTCTTTACCTCCTATTGGCTTTGCCAGAGAAATTTCGAAGAGTTGGAACCACCCTGGTAGGTGGTGTCTAAAGGTGTTGAACGTCAACACGCGTCGTCGACCAAATGACACGCGTAAAAGTGTTTCCAGAGAGAAATAGGGAAAAAGGGAAAGGGAAAGAGAGTGAGAAGAGGGTGAGGAGGAGGGAAAGGAGGGAACTTACTCGTGCACTTACGATTAGTAGTGGCACGTTCGCAACGTTGAACGTTGATCGATCGTTCTGTCATGGAAGGATAAGGTAAAAGTGACTGACCCACTATTCCCATCCTCCATACCCTTCATCTTTGTCACGTTCACACATGACGAAGATATTATATAAATTCACCAGGTGCCAAAACGTCTACGAATTAAGATATGTATTAACAAGTAACGTATTCATTAATATTAGAACTTAAAATGTGCAACAAATTTGAAGAAAAAGGAAAATCAATATTGATTTGTTTTTTTTCTCTCTCTCTCTTATATTATAAAATATAATATTAATTAATTAATTACGTGCATATGTACGTTATTTTTCGTCTATTTTCTTTTTTCTTGATTTAATTAATTAACATGATATTATTCTATTTTTAACTTTCAGGGGGGAAAGGAACACTCGTAATATTAAACATACGTTTAAATGCTATTAGTACTTCTTTTTTTTTCTTTTTTTAACTTGACTCGTCGTAATTTATACGAAATAATAAAAAAAGAGAAATATATAGAAAATTAATCGACACTATAACGAAAATTATTGTAAATTATGCGAAAGAGAAAAATTTTGATGAAAAATAAATGCTACATTTGTCGAGGGATTTCGGGGGTGTGGTGGTGGTAGTGGTGGTGGGGATTGGGGGAAAGTAAGTAAACGATTTTTTAATTTCGTATTAATAATAATACGAGATAATTAAGTTGACGTTTTTGGCAACGGATACTACCAACGAAACTCGAACGATACGACGAAGAGAAGATGAAGAAGATGATGAAGAAGAAGAAGAAGAAGAAGAATAAGAAGAAGATGAAGTAGAAGAAGAAGAAGAAGAAGAGCTAAGGCTTTTATTTATAAATCTCCGAGCGATACATAGTTTCGCTTGTCATATTTCTCTCGATGACATATCACCAAGACCACGCACGACGGTTCCTTGCCAACTACTGTTATTATAATTCGAAAACGACCATGCCGAACAGTTTTTGACAGGGCCATTTGAAAATTATGTATTAACGGTCTACCGCAACCTGCCATGGATTCCGTATGTGATGCAATTAATTCGATAGAGAGTTTTAATAGGAGAGATGAATGAAATGACGGATTCAATTCGAACGAAGTTTACACCTATTACATTTATTAACTTCGATCTTCGATATCTTCATTATCATTCTCTCATTAATGTATGATCATAAATGATCAACGATAATTTAGACTTTATGTACATATCTATTACTGTAATATTATCGATTATAATCGTAAAAACTAAATTACATTAATTGTAAGATTCGTTTAAAAAATAAACGAACAAAAATGTTTAATTTATCAAAATTAAGGATCGTTATTTCAACGATGGGGTCATTTAAATTCAATCGTATTTCTATTCCCTGTTTACTGATTGGTCAATTTTAATTCGATGCATTTTAATTGATATCATTTGTTAAGTGTCGTTTTACGTTTAAATTCTCCTAGCGTTTCTATGAAGGTAAATCACCACCCTGGTAGACTTTAATTTCGTAAGTGAAATTAATGGTTAAAGGGCTGCAGAAAAAGTAACCGTGTTAATTTGACACTCAACTCATTCTAATTAAACGTAGAGCTCGATCAAAAGGAAAACAACAATAAAAAATTGAAAAAGTGATAACATAAGTAGCCAAGTTAAACAAACAAACGAACAAAAAAGAGAACACGAAATGTGTGGATAATTTGATACGCAATTTGTTCGTTTTTACTTGTTCCTAAAAATCAATGGTGCTCGTAAAGATAACAATAAAATAATATCTAGATGTAATTTTTTATTTAAAATGAAAATAATTTTGAATGTGAAGTTCACTTAAGAAACTAGTTCGTTCGTTCGAGTATTCGATTATATTTTAACATCGTTCACACGTATAAGCGTTTTTCTACACACACACATACTTACACACGTACAATCACATGGTTAGAAACTATATACATGATTGTATACGTGTTAGTGCCATCTACCTCGAGCCGAGTCGCCGAGGC